TATAACATTACCATCTAATAATCCAGTGCTAACATAACCATCAAATAGTCTTCCAATGCTAACATAATCATCAAAACCTAGTGCATGAGAAATCATAATCTGAAGTCTAGCAAACATAACACAGAATATCTGATCCAACAATCATAACACACAATACTTACTACAGTTCAACATATTATAAAGTACACAACCATTGTTCACAATACATAGTGGAGTTTAGATGCATAGTTCATCCTTTTCTCACAAAAGGATGAAAAGCATATCTACTACATACATACACAGCCATAGTTCATCTTAGAGAAGTTCACATTTAGTAGAGCCATACACTACACAACCATCATGCCCAAAAGGTCAGCATTGCCCACTACTCTCATATTCATTTTCTTCACTTCTCTAAGATGGCCTGGATCCCCTTGATCTTCTCCTTCAGCTTCTCCTCTGCCTTAATCAGCTCAGCAATCTGAAGCTCTAGCTGCCCCTTCTCTTCACCATGCTTTTCCTTTCCCTTGAGCAAATCAGTAACCTGAAACTTCAACTCTAGCTTATCTTGGGTGAGCTTCTCCTCAGACTTTGTGAGCTCTGCATTCTTCAACTCCAAGTTCATCTTAGCTTCAGTAAGCAATTGCTTATCGGTAATATTCTTCAACTTCAGGTTCTGGATGACTGTAGCTTGAGCTCTTGTCAGGTTCAGTAGCACATCATAATTCTACTTAAACTTCTCAAACTCTGCATCTTTCTTTGCCATCTGTGCATTCATATCAGCCACCAGTTCACTTCTGCATTCATGCTGATATGTAATGGAAGACTGCAGATGTCTGAAATCCACCACCCTATCCTCCTGGAAGCTCATAAGCTGATGCATATCTTGGACTAGCTTGTCATAGTTGGCATCCAGGTTGTTCTTCTCTTCTGTCAGATGGTGGATAGTGAAAGAACTTTCAAGATTATCATTCACCCTAGCACTCTTGCTATCTTCAACCATTGCCCACAGCTTCAAAAATGCATTTTGCATTGTTGGGGGCCACTGGTGATCAACCCATTCAACAAACCCACAATTCTACCCTTCCTGCAAAAAGAAAAAAAGATAAAAAATAAACAAGTTAGTGCATAACTAGTGCAAAGCAATAACACTGTTTTGTCCTTTCTACATTGGTAATAATAACAACACTAAGCTACACTGGTAATTGAGATGTACCTACCCACTAAATAACAACATGACAAATTACAACACTAGTCAGCTACAGATTTAAACTAGTTTTTGCTAATCACCTACAAAAGCAATCTCAAACTGCAACTTGGTGAACTGCCGAAGCATTTGCAGTACATACTATCCATTCAACTGAATATTTGTAGCATTTACATACATACACTAGTAGAAAAAGGGGCTTTGGTCCAGGCCGGGTAACCCCATTAGTCCCGGTTCAGTCCAGAACCGGGACCAATGGGGGCATTGGTCCCGGTTCGTGAGCCCAGGGGGTCGGCCGGGCCACGTGGGCCATTGGTCCCGGTTCATGTGGACCTTTTGGTCCCGGTTGGTGGGATGAACCGGGACCAATGGGCCTACTCCTGGCCCACAACCATTGGTCCCGGTTCGTGCCTCAAACCGGGACTAAAGATTAGACCTTTAGTCCCAGTTTGAGGCACGAACCGGGACCAATGGGGATGAGACCTTTAGTCCCGGTTCGTGCCACGAACCGGTACTAAAGGTCCCATTTTCAAACTCTACCCCCCACCCCCCTGTGGATCGCCTTTTCAGTTTTAGAAAAAATAAAAGAAAATGATGGAAATGTCAAAAAAATAAAAGAAAATAAGTTTCCCATGTGATATGTGGTCTAGTTGTTGGGAAAATTTGCAAATGTGAATTTTGAGTTTATTTGCAAAATCTCTCTGAAATTTGTAAAAATGGGCATAACTTTTGCATACTAACTCGGATGAAAAAGTTTTTTATATGAAAAATCATCTACTCGAAAAGTTACATCCGAATTTAACGGGGGAACCCCGTTAAACATTTTCAAAATCCTCAAAAACCTAATAGAAAAAAGTTATGGGGCTTTTAAAGATCTAGAGTGAAAAAAATCGAAAAAAATTCAAACAGTGGGCAAACTGTGGTCAAACAATGGTCAAACTAATTATTCTAGAATATTAGTGTTACTAAATAATTATTTCTGTTATTTCAATTTTGGTCAAATCTGGTCAAACTGTGGTCAAACTGTGGTCAAACAATGGTCAAACTAATTATTCAAGAAATATTAGTGTTACTCAATAATTATTGTTTTTTTTAAAAATAGTTTCAAAATAAAACTATGAAATGTGTCACTTCATGCTCAAGCAAAATTCCTGAAGGTTAATAGGATTGACATCTTAGTATTGTCAGGAAAACAACAAGTGCAGACTTGGAGCGAGGGAGAATAGAACCCGGAAGTTAAGTGTGCTCAGGCTGGGGGAGTGGGAGGATGGGTGACCGTTCGGAAAGTTAGATGATTTGGAATGATGAGGGGTGATTATAGGATAAATTGAGAAGTGATGAGGAGTGGGTGGTAATTACAGACTAGAGGTTAAAATAATTCAGAAATTTGAAAATTTCAAAAAAAATTCAAAAAAAGTTTTCAAAAAAAATTCATAAAATTTCCTTTAGTCCCGGTTGGTGTTACCAACCGGGACTAAAGGTGGAGCTCCACGTGGCCGAGCCCTTTAGTCCCGATTCTGGATTGAACTGGGACTAAAGGGAGAGGCATTAGTACCGACATTTTAGTCCCGGTTCCAGAATCGGGACTAAAGGCCCTTATGAACCGGGACTGAAGGCCCTTTTTCTACTAGTGATAACAGCAGGTGCATCCCAATATAAAACTAACAGTTCAATCAATATTTAGTTACAAACAGGAGCAAAAGTAGCAGCAACATAATTAACAGTACCACTGTCATTCAACTACATAAAAATGCCACAATAACAACTTAAAACCTGTAGAAGTCTCAAACTGAATATTTCACATGTGGGCAAAAACAATCCCACTGCAAAATAACAGTACCACTGTCATTAAACTACACAAGCTACTGCTGTTGCAAAAGTGAATAATCAGCCCTAACAAAATGACAGTAAAGATTCCACTGCCAAGTTAAATATGCCCTAATAATCAGCCCTTTTACTAATGTGAACATACTATATAGCAGATCAGTTATCCTTGTGACATGTAAGTCTCCCTTTATCACTTTTTCTTGTAAACTCATGTAAAAGTGATAAGGTTATGCATGTTAGCTTGGAACATGAGGGATGTGCGCATGAGGAATAATATGACATATAATATCCCACTATCAGCCTATAGTTCATACCGGCTCTGCACATGCTAAGAACCTTCTCCGTGTGTCTGTTCCTTCAAATGCGACAAGCCTCTCAGATGCCTTCCCGTGCTTCTCACATACCGACATCGTTTCCAGCTCAAGCCCGTGGTAATCTGGATCTTCAACGTTGAAAGGGACCTGCCGAAGCTCGTACAAACAAAATGCCCAAATCAAAACCCAGCAAAATCAATCAAATCAAAAAACCCCAAATCTGTAACCCTAACCCTAAACCTAGCTCAAGGAAAATCACCCGGCTCAGCCCGTCCATGGATGAGGTCAAGTGCATGTACGGCAGGCTGGAAGTGTCGTCACTGCTTTCGTCTTCGAAAACCATGGCGGGCGGCGGCGGTCCGGTCCGGCAACGCTGCGGGCGCCGACGGGGGCGGCGAGAGAGGAGCAAGCAGAGAGGCACGAGCAAGAAGGAAGAGAGACAGAGCACGGGCCGGTCCGGTTCGAGCCGGACCGCACCTATCGAGCGAGCGGGCGGGTACCGATTCGCCAGGGTGGCAGCTGACGCGCGGGCCCGGGCGGTCAGTTCCAGCGTCAATGCGTAGAAATACGAGGTTTAGCCCGATTCGCAACGGTTCGACTCAAACGTGATACTGACACGTAAAATTTTTCAAAAGTGGTATCAATTCGTCACCACCGCCCCAAATGTGGTACTATCGTGTAATTAACTCGTGAGAGAGAGATTTGTCATAAGGTGTTCAAGGAAATACACCGAACCTCCAGAAATATAGTAGTTATCCTTTTGTTTTTGCAAAATATCCTAATCGTAAAGATACTTGAAACTGGTATGCGATTTGTTAGGAATAATCTCAAGTTATCAATGTTAGTTATTTAGAAGGAAGCGATGTGCTCATCATACAATGTTGAAATTTACAGCACATGCACATCAAAGTGCTCATGACACAGTAATAAGAAAAACACCCCATATAAAAGAAACTCATAAACATGTCTGTAATGGGGTCGATTGCTGATTCATCTCCTCGTTTTTCAGTAGCCCCCAACACAACGCCACATAAGTTGTCACCAAACATCCTGAGAACACAAGTCCACCATGAGGATGTCGCCGTCACGACACCATTCTTGCTTGAACAGTTTGGTTTTCAAATCCATCCCCAATCATAGAACTAATCGTCTCGTCGGGTAAAGATCTGAAAATTCTTTATTCAGCGCGGCCATCAGCATCGCTGAAGTCAAAACGATGAACAATCTAAAAACCTAAACTACTAGGGCTTAAAAACGATCCAAACGCGTGGATCCAGCGACCCCCCTCATCACCGACGACCGAGGTGGTCGACGCAGAAGAGCCGCCGCCGGAGGACGGCGGCTGAGGAGACTCTCGTGGCAAGAAGGTGAGATCGTCATTCCTTCTTTCAATAGGAAGAAAGTGTGTTGGTCCTGCATGGGATTTAGGGCACTGGGGACCCTTGCGATGCTTTGATGATTTCATGAAGCATGCTTGATGCGTCTGGTCTGGTTCTTTGCTTGCGGTTGGAGGCTGGAAAGCAAGGACGCCTTTGTCTAAATAAATCTCCACGTAAAGGAAAAGGCATATGCACGTACGTGTTTCTTATAAGCAGCTGCCGGAGAGAGGATCATCTCATCACACATACAAACAGCAACGTAAGAACGCGAGCTCTCGGCCAACAGAGAAAATCATGGCGGAGAGCGCGGTGGCGGCGGTGCTCTCCAAGTTCGGGGAGCTGGCGGCGAGCGAGGCCAAGATACTGCTCGAGGTGGGCGACAACATGATGCTGCTGCGCGACCGTCTGGAGTGGCTGCAGGCCTTCATCCGCGACGCCGACCGCAAGCGCCGGACCGGCACCGACGGGCTGACCCGCGTGTGGGTGCGCCAGACGCGTGACGTCGCCTTCGAGGCCGAGGATGCGCTCGACGAATTCTTCTACGAGGTTAGGGCTGCCAGGCTTTTGTCATTTCCTATTCCCTTTGTCTCAAAATAAGTGTCTCAACAAAGGTTGAGACAGTTACGTTGGGACGGAGGTTTTCTAGGGGATGCTTATCCTTGGTGGTTACGGTCATATCAATCGTCAGCCCTTCAATATGCACGCGCAAGTCTATAATTATTGTACAGTTATCATTCTAGAAGTACTACTACAAATTCTGTTTTGCTATAAAACATGCTTGATTTCTTCATGTCACAAAATCCAGGTTTGTGCTTGTTTTGGACATCAGGTCAATAGCCTCTGTTTTATATCAGTCTGCATTTTGGATTTGTTTCGAATCAAACTTTATTGCATTTTTGGTTTGTTTTAAGTCAAATATTATAAAGTTTGATTCAAATTATAGCAAAAAATCTTAACATCTACAATACCAGACAAATTTATCATAAAAATATAGTTTATGAAATCTAATGATATTGCCTTTATGATGTATAGTCAAAAAAATGTCTTATATTATGGGACGGAGGGAGTAGATATTATTAATACTTTTTACTATAACTTTGAGTTTGCAATTTTTGCTGGTAGTTTACCAAGTGGACCACTTGGTACTATTATTTTGGGTTTGAATTAACACACACTTAAAAGATATTATCTATGTATTACTATACATAGAGACTTCTCACGGGTCGTGCTATTCGTCACCCTGGGTGAGGAATAGTTATTCTTCACCCCCTCTTTATTTTGACGTCAATGCACCGTATTTTTAGGTTTCGTAAATTTTGTCTTATTTCATACGTAAAAAGAGAATGTAAGAAAATATATACTCGCCGTAAAAAATATTTTATGTTACGTAAAGTTACGAACGTAAAAACATACATAAAATGCGATATTTCTGGTCTTATAACCTATTAACTTTGTTTTCTTATAGCAAATTCTACGTAGTGAATAAACATGAGTGTAACTATTTGTATTCCAAACATAATTTATTTATGAAGCGATCGTAAGATTACCTCGGGTAAAGAATAACTTATTCTGCAACCTGGGTGATGAATAGTATTACTAGATTTCTCACATTAATCAAATAAAAAAATCATAACCATCTACTTTTTGTGGGACCAAATTATAATGTTCCTGGTTAATCAAAAGATAATGAAAATAATGAAATTTTCGGATTTTTTTTGGCCTAATATTTATGCAGATGTGAGCTGGATTTATCGGACGAAAATCTACCTGGGCTTTAAGTAAGCCCAAGAAGAAAAATAAAAAGAAAATGAGAAAATATTGATATGCTAAATATTTCCCATTTTGACGGAGGAAAAATACATGCAAGTTGATTGCATCTTAACTCCACATGGTTTAAAAAATAAAATATATATTTTATTTTTTCTGGTAAATACAAATAAATTCCAAAAACACAAAATAAACACTAAAATAAATAAAAATTTAAATATGTATTATAAAATTTTCTAAAATTTGTAAACATGAACTAAATCTCGATTCTGATTGTTCCAATTCCACATTGTATGGTAAATGAAAGGAAGCTTTCAAAAATTCCTTATTAACTCCAATAAAATTATAAAAAATAATGGTGTTCAGCATATTTCAGCATACTTTAAGCTTTAAGAGATAAGAAAAGATGTTGTGATAAGGACTTTTTACAGCTTATATTCCAAAGCAAATACACAAATTAAACCAGTCAATATAGTGTAAGAGTATATAATGTACTGTATGAAACAATGCTAGATAAAATTCAATGAAGTTGCAAAAACTCATGAGTAAATTTGTTAATCGAAGGGTACAAATATTTCCAATCTATCTTGAAATTCAACAGTACGGAGAATAGTATAATATAAAATTCATGTAACTTGTGAAACAAAGATTTATTAGTTGATAGTAATTTAGATGCTCTATAACCAAGCACATGCAAAGCGAAATAATTGAAGATAACATCATTATTTATGATATAGACAAAATCTTCAATATATTTCATATTATTGTAACATAGATTTTTACAAAAGTTTTTTTGTTTTTTGACAAGGATGTTTACAAAAGTTATAAATAAAAGAAAAGAAAATACGCTTAAAAGTTACCTAATCAACTCAAAAGTCAAAATCTCATCATGATCAACTTGAAGCATTAAGATCTAAAAATTCATGGAAATAGCAGCATAAGCTCTGAGTGCTTGTCAATATGTAAAAGTATAATAATATGTTCAACATATCTTAAGATTTATATAGTCTAATTAACTCATAAATAGAAAAATTGGGAATATAATTGTCTAGCCCGTGCGAATGCACGGTATTATGACTACTACAAACTAATATGAAAGGGAGAAAGTATAATTTAAAACCAAAATCACCAATGTGAAAAGTAGTTTCTTTTACAAAAATGTCAAACTCAGTGTCCTGCCAATAAATAGATGTTTAAAAGGCCTAAACTCAAATCACCACATTCTATTTTGAAAAGTTATGGCGCTACTTTCATCTAAACTGGTAAAGCTTACATTAGATTATTGAAAACTATGAGATTGCCATATATTGATTTATTAATTATTTTGCAAGTTTCCCACTTTCATCGACCTCCGTCAGTTACCATTTGGGCTGCAGTTAATCTGTGCAACTGGGGTTTCGGACCCACCCTTTGCTTCTCCAACCTCTCATCATTTTTTCTAGTCATCCTAACATAGTTAAATGCATAAATTGAAATGACCGTATGCTTGATCTCGACCGGATTAGAATGCATCATAGCTATTCCAAATTAGATCATATATGCAGCCAAGTAATTCATACTAGATTCTGATTTGGCAGTGGATAAAATAGATATGGAAATATTATCCTTATATCCTATTTGATATAGTTTCAAAATTACATTAGTTCAAATCAAATATTTATGGAAACTATTTTTCATTTGAATTTTTTTCAAACAATATTTATATTATTTTTAAAATATGTATTTATTTGTATAATCATTTTTTAATTTTTAGCAATAAACATGCTTGGGCCTAGTCACACAAAATATCTTGGTACCTATCCATTTCTGAGACTATCTGTATTCACTTTGTTCTATACTTGTTTTGAAATCATGGTGTGACAATGTATGCATGTGTATTCATATCCCGGATTATCCACGCCCATTTTGGTTTCTAAAAGATGTGATTTTTCTGGTCATTCCTTCCTTTTCTACCATATTTTGATCATTTTTGTGTGGAAGATATTCTGATCAATTTATGCTCCTAATCTTAGCAACCTAAATTCATGCTAGTTTACTTCTACATAAAATGCGACTCCATAAATGGTAATTAAATATCAGAAACAAGGATAAATGTCTATCTGTAACTGTATATGCAAAGCTTAAGTGCGGGCACACTTTTTTTTATTGAAGATCGGTGAAAGCTGTACCACTTAAGTCAAAGTGGGTGGTTGTGACTCATTTTTTAGATCAGGGAAGCGTTTGTAATTCCTGCTTGATTGTTTCATCCAATAAGAGTTTTTTTGTTTTCTTTTGCAATGCGTTTAATGACAGGTTGAGCTAAAAAGACATGGTTATCATGGTTGGAAAATGTGGCGCAAATACTTGACTGGTTTCTGGAACCAAGTCATCATTCGACATGTCTTTTCTGCCCGAATCACAAGAATCAATAGAAGACTCAAGAAAATTTCCGAGAACCAAAAGGAATACAAGATCGAGCATACACCATTAGCAACATTGACATCTTCAACTACAGCAACATCAGCATGGTATGCGACACTCATAATTATTTTTTCTTCTTTATTTGCAATCCTACATGCGGGGTTTCCAAGAGATAGAATCCATTAGATTTTAGTTTTATACTTATGAAGCCCATCAGATTGAGAGGCATAGGTGGAGCCACCATCCTTGCTGCCTGTGCAGGTGTCGGACAATAATTACCTTATGTTAATTAAAGTTATAATTAATAAAGAAATAATGTATAAAGTATATTAGTGAGTTGTTGTTGGATAAAGGTGAAGTTTGCATGGGCTTCAAATTTTTTCCGGCTCCGCCTTTGTTGAGGCAAGAGCCTTCAGGTCTAAGGGATAGTACCGCCGACGTGCTCCTCGCCTGTGAACCACCAAATCCTCTCACCTTACCATTCGTCGTGGGTGTTCACGGAGTCCTCCATCACAGGCCTCATGAGCACTGATGGGAAGTGGTGGTGGCGGGGACGGTGATGGCGTCGGCGTGATGTTGCGCACCGGCGTACGCCTGCGCGTTTGGGGCACGCTCGGAGTACGTGCGTCAATGGTGATAGTTTTGCATCGTTACCTTGTTGCACGCATTGCTCAGATGACTTGTTCTTCAGGGTGAAAACCTAGAATCTGACCTTTAGTGGTTGGATCCGGTGACGACGATGCTTGAGCGGCGATCCCTTCTTGAAGACGTTACTGTTGAAGAACCACATTGTCTATTGTCTTTGTGGTTTGGCAAATACTATGACATTCTCAGGTTCTATAAATAAGTTTGCTTGCTGGATGACATAAGCTATTTTGTCTTGTAGCGACTGACAAGAAAAAATCACTTAAAACGGAAACTTTCCAAAAATAGCATGTATTAAAAATGGGAACTTACCTAAATAATGGGAGTGTGGCAGTGTGCATGCCGTAAGACAATTTCTTGCGCGTGCGTGCTGTAGTCCAAACTTTATATTTATAGAACTGTTGTAGCTTTCTTATGTGCGAGCTTCTTATGGTGGAACTAAAAGCAACTTGCCTCTAGTTGAAGAATGAACTCCTAGGAAGGTTTTTCTTGGTGTCTATAGATGGTCACATATCTGAGTACTGGTATTAATTTATGTAGGAATAATTGATCATAAGTATTTGCTGATGCCTTACGCAAACTAATGTCCATACCGTTTTTATATTGTGCAGTCCCATGAAGCCGTGATTACCAGTTAGGCTACGAATAAAACTCCTAGAGCCTTACTGTTAAATTGAAGTGTAATATTAATAAGAATATAAATCTAGGACTGTGTATGTTTGTTGTGGAACTAGCTAGTTAATGAGGACACAAATTGCTCCCAACCGCGCGCCGCTCTCCAGGAGCGGCACGGGCGGGCACGTAGGTCGCCACCTCCTGCTACCCTCCCCTCGC